GGCCTCCCGGGCGGCAGGCTCCTGGGGGAGGGGACGCAGCTGGGGACGGCGGAGAATGGGGTCCTTGTGCTGCTATCAGCGACCCCGGGGCCGGATGAACACGGCTTTGTCTGCCCCACACTCCCGTGGCGACCACGGGACCAGCCGGGCATCAGCGCCTGGGGCTTCCCAACAAGAGAGGCTGCTTTTAGGCCTCAGTTAACCCGTGAGAGGGTGTGGGAGGCCGGCACTCCCCGGGCTCTGCGCCTGGGCCGGGGGGCGGCAGAAGAAGGGGGACATCAGTGTCAACCCCGAGGTTCGAAGCAGTGCTTGTCCAACAGGATTTCTTCCGGTTTCCATGGCTGAGCCACTGGGGGAGGTGACCCAGTGGGCAGTAACGGAGACATCCTGCCCACCAGGCCCAGCTGGGAACAGAAGCCCAAGGTGATGGCCCCCCCCCACCCCCCTGCTGGCTCCAGGGCATGCGCCTGATTTGTGGGGAGTTCTTTTTTTAATTTTATTTTTATTGATTTCAGAGAGGAAGGGAGAGGGAGAGAGAGAGAGAGAAACATCAGCGGTGAGAGAGAGTCATGGATCAGCTGCCTCCTGCACCCCACACTGGGGATCGAGCCTGCAACCTGGGCCTGTGCCCTGACCGGGAATCGAACCATGACCTCTTGGTTCATAGGTGGATGACGTTCAATCACTGAGCCATGCCGGCCAGACTTTTTGAGGATTTTTTTAAAATATATTTTATTGATTTTGTACAGAGAGGAAGGGAGAGGGATAGAGAGTTAGAAGCATCGATCAGCTGCCTCCTGCACACCCCTCACTGGGGATATGTCCGCAACCAAGGTACATGCCCTTGACCGGAATCGAACCTGGGACCCTTTAGTACGCAGGCCAACGCTCTATCCACTGAGCCAAACCGGTCAGGGCGATTATTTTTTATTATTAATTTTGAGAGAGAGAGGAACATGAGTCAGTTGCCTCTGTACACACCCGGTGAGGAGTTGTTGGTCACACAGAGAAGGGGGCCCCACACTGGGCACCCATCAGCCAGCCAGGGTCTCGGCAAAGGGGAGACCCAGGAGGTCCCGCTGCAGAAGAAGAGCCTGCAGACCCAGAGGAAGTGGGCGGGCGTCAGGCAGGGCTTCCTGGCGGCCGGAGGGCGAGGGAGGCGGGCGATGGGGTGGGTTATTTGCCGGCCTGTTGGCTGGGTTTGCCGTGGGTCTGGCCCCCAAAGTAGAAGGGGGGCCCTCCTGTGGGTGAGCGGTGCTCCCTCTTAGGGAAGGTGGGGTGACGAGGGGCAGCCAGGAGGACAGTGGGGACCCCGGCCCCTGCGGCAGTGGTTCCGGTCCCGCCCAGGCCTGTCCGCAAGTGCTCCTGGGTATTTTTCTCGTCTTTATAATTTTCTGTATTTCTCCGATTTCCCCCTGCCCGGCTGGCCGGCGTGGCTCCGTGGTTGAGCGTCAGCCCATCACCAAGAGGTGGCTGGTTCGATTCTGAGTCGGGGCACGCGCCCGGCTGCGCACACAGGAGATCAGACGGGCACCCGGGGAGAGGCCACGTGCCTACGGCAGAGGCCGGAGTGACGTGGCCACCAGCCACGGGATGGTGAGGACTGTCTGGGCCACGGAACCACGGAACCGGGAGGATCAAGGACGGCAGTCTCCCGCCCGGCCTCCAGGCGGAGCCAGCCCTGATTTCAGCCGCGATTTCAGCCGAGATTTCAGCCTCGGCTCCAGGCTGAGGGTGACTCTGAGTTGTTGTGAACCTCGCGGGCTCGGAGGAAAGCGGTACGCACACCCCGTTCCTGCCTTTGGTGAGCGAGCCCTTATTTGCTTACATTGTGTATCGTCTGTTCCGCGTGACGAGGTAACGAAACGCATTGTAAGGAGGTGGCTCACGCGGCTTTGGAGGCTGGAGAGGCACCTCATTCTCACTCTAGGAAACTCGGAGGGGCCCCCCCTGCCCCCCCCCCACCGCTGCTGCGCAGGGAAGTTTGGAGAGGACTCTTTGGGGGGCAGGTGTGGCCGGAGGAGCTAACACCAGGGTGGGGGGATATGTTGGCCGGATGTGTGTGTGTGTGTGTGTGTGTGTGGAAAGGGGGTGCTGGCCCGGCCCCCCATGCTGAGGCTGGGACCAGGCGGGAGGGGCTCCGCTCAAGCCCCCGCCCCCGCCCCCCCAGGTGATGGACGTGCAATTAACCTGCCTGCGGTTTTGCTGGCAACTGGACGGGAACAGGAAGTGAGCGTATAAACCAGGGCCTTTCAAGTTAAGACAAATTCATCAGACAGATGAGCCTGCAGCGCAGAGAGCAGCGCCCCGGCCTCCCAGGCCTCCAGTTGGGAGACAGCTCCACTCAGGGACCCAGGCGCCTTCCAGGCCTTTCC